AGAATCACTTGAACCCAGGAAGCAGAGGTCACAGTAAGCCAAGATCATGCCACTGCACTCCAGCCTGGGCAAAAGCAATGAAACTCCATCTCAAAAAAATTTAAAAAAAGATAAATTAACATGGACCATTCAGAGAATTACAAGCATGCGGAAATGCAGGGTACAAAGAAGAGAATTGAATCTAAGATTTTTGTTTGTTATGCAATGTACTTTATTTGTATCTTTTTTTTTTTTTTCTGAGACAGAGTTTCGCTGTTGTTACCCATACTGGAGTCCAATGGCATGATCTCAGCTGACCACAAACTCCTCCTCCTGGGTTCAAGCAATTCTCCTGCCTCAGCCTCCTGAGTAGCTGGGACATGGTGTGCACCACCATGCCCAGCTAATTTTTGTATTTTTAGTAGAGACAGGGTTTCACCTTGTTGACCAGGATGGTCTCGATCTCTTGACCTCGTGATCCACCTGCCTCAGCCTTCCAAAGTGCTGGGATTATAGATGTGAGCCACCGCGCCTGGCCCGCATTTGTATCTTAATAGTCACCAAAATTTTTTCATTAGGCACCACAAAAGTGAAAATGTTTTGACCATTTTATTAAATACGTTTACTTCTGTACTGATAGAATTTGTAATGTACTTTTCTTTTTTTTGGAGACAGTCTCATTCTGTCGCCCAGTCTGGAGTGCAGTGGTACAATCTCGGCTCACTGAACCTCCACCTCCTGAGTTCAAGCGTTTCTCCTGCCTCAGCCTCTCAGTAGCGGGGATTACAGCTGTGCATCACCACGCCCAGCTATTTTTTGTATTTTTAGTAGAGACAGGGTTTCATCACGTTGGCCAAGCTGGTCTCCAACTCCTGATCTCAGGTGATCTGCCTGCCTCAGCCTCCCAAAGTACTGGAATTACAGCTGTGAGCAAGTGAGCCACTGCACAAGGCCTAAATTTAATTTTTGCAGTGACAGGATCTCACTATGTTGCCCAGGCTGCTCTCTATCTCCTGGCCTCAGTCTGCCTTGGTCTCCCAACGTGCTGGGATTACAGGTGTGAGCCACTGTGCTTGGCCTCCAGCTGTTCCTTGGACATCTTGGGCACACTTCTATTCTAAGGCTTTTGTATTATTACACTCTGCCTGGAACATTCTTCTCTTGTACCCCTCAAGTCTGTATGACTGTATTGCAGTCTTCAAACTGCTCAAATGACAACTCAGTGAGGCCTTTCCACTTCACTGTTGCAGTTGCATCTGCACTCCCATCATGTCTGACTCCCCTGTGCTGTTTCCTTTTTCATTGCACTTACTTCCCTTTAATTTTTATATAGTTTACTCACTTTAGTTTGTCCTTACAATGATGACATCCTGTAACATACTCAATATTTCTGGCTTTAGCTTCTTTGCCATAATCAGTTGCCAATTTATTTACAAGTGTTACAGTAAATAAATTTCACGTATACTTGTTTTTTTTTTTTGAGAGAGAGTTTCACTCTTATTGCCCAGGCTGGAGTGCAATGGCACCATCTCGGCTCACCGCAACCTCTGCCTCCTGGGTTCAAGTGATTTCCTGTCTCAGCCTCTTGAGTAGCTGGGATTACAGGCATCCGCCACCACGCCCGGCTAATTTTGTATTTTTTACTAGAGATAGGGTTTCTCCATGTTGGTCAGGCTGGTCTCGAACTCCGGACCTCAGGTGATCCTCCTGCCTCTGCCTCACAAGTGCTGGGATTACAGGCGTGAGCCACCACGCCTGGCCTCATGTGTACTTCTAATTTTTTAAAATTTCATTTTATTTTTATTTACTTATTTATTTTTGAGGTAGGGTCTCACTCTGTCGCCCAGGGTGGAGCAGTGGCGTGCGTGATCACAGCTCTCTGAAACTTCAACCTCCCAGGCTTAAGCAATCTTCCCACCTCACTCAGCCTCCTGAGTAGTTTGGACTACAGACGTGCACCAACTGCCTGGCTAAGTTCTTTATTTCTTTGTAGAGACAGGGTCTCCCTATGTTTCACAGGCTGATTTCAAACTCCTAGGCCCATGTGCTCCACCCACCTCGACCTCCCAAACTGCAAGGATTACAAGCCTGAGCCACCGAGCCTGCCCCCCCTTTTTTTTTACTGCCGTAGAATAAAGCCTAAAATCCATGTTAATTTATACCTCTGCATAGGTGGCTCCCCATCCAAAATCACCTCTGCCTGGCCTCTAATGTTCATTCAAAATACTTTTCTTTTTAATTTCCTTTTTCTTCCTCCCACCCCCAAATCAAAATTCTTCTGAAATCTCCTTTGTGAAGCTCTTCCTCCACCCCCAGGGACTTGTAATATGCTCTCCTTTGCATCCCACCCTGTGACCTACTCATACCTCTAATTATAACACCTACCACACTTCTGGCAACGTCATATGTCATTAAAAGTTAAAATATAAAAACAAACATGTATGGATCCATCGCACAGAAAATCTGATAACTATACAGACTCTGTCGGCAGGAACCATCTGTTTTGATGTGTGTGACTGTCTATGGTTGCACTGTACAACTAACAAATGCAATCAATACCAGGAACAGTCACATAGATCTCACTAAAGTCCTATATCCGAGAGCTGCACTCTGAGTGAAATGCAAACTTTCATTAAATTATTTCGCCTAATACTTTATGTGCCTTCATTCAGCTGGTTTTTAAAGTAGTCACAGGAGAAAGGTAAGCGACAGAACCCAAGAAGATGGCCGACCACTAACAGCTCGGGATTGTAGCTCCCAGTGAAAGCTCAGAGAACGAGACAACGCCACACTTTTAGACGAATTTTCGTCACTCACGGATCAGCCGATTCCCAGTGGAGTAGCCCCACGGGTCGCCAGCGCGACTCTTGTGGCCGCCACAGCGGTTTTGCCAGCGCCTCGGCACAGTAGCTCTTCATGCAGAGCAAACGGGACTGCTTCCCCTACTGACCGGAGTTTGGAGCTCCGGGAAGTCAGAGCGGCTTGTTGCGGACTCAAGAGGGAAGCCAGACCAGAGATTCCCGGGCAGAAGAGCCCCATCAGTCTTATCGCTGCTATTTAGGCCGCCACAGTGGGTTGCTTGGATCCCAGCACTGGGAATCAATAAATCAGACTTCGACTCAGAAACCTAATCAGAAAGGCGGTTCATCTACAATGAAGGGAAAAAAACAGCCTAAGAAGGCCGAGTATACTCAAAATCAGAACCCATCAGCAACGGAACAAGCCCTGAAGGAAAAGGACTGATCAGCAACGGAACAAGCCCTGATGGAAAAGGACTGTGTTCCATTATCTGAAGTAGGCTTTAAAAGGTGGATGATGAGAAACTTCTGGGAGTTAAAGGAACTTGTTCTAACCCAATGTAAAGAAACTAAGAACTTTGAAAAAAGGTTAGACGAAATGATGAAAAGAATAGACAATATAGAGAGGAATACAAATGAACTTATGGAGTTGAAAAATACAACACGAGAACTTAGTGAAATATGTACAAGCTTAAATAGCCGAATGGATCAAGCAGAAGAAAGGTTATCAGAAGTTGAAGACCAACTTAATGAAATAAAATGACAAGACAAGAATAGAGAAAAAAGGATAAAAAGGAATGAGCAAAGTCTCCAAGAAATATGGGACTATGTTAAAAGACCTAATATACATTTGATTGGTGCACCTGAATGTGAAGGGGAGAATGAATCCAAGCTGGAAAATACTCTTCAGGACATTATCCAGGAAAATTTTCCTAATTTAGCAAAGCAGGACACTATTCAACCCCAGGCAATACAGAGAACACCACAAAGATATTCCTCAAGAAGAGCAACCCCAAGGCACATAATCATTAGATTCACCAGGATTGAAATGAAGGAGAAAATATTAAGGGCAGCCGGAGAGAAAGATCAGGTTACCTATAAAGGGAAGCCTATTAGGCTTACAGCAGATCTCTCAGCGGAAACCCTACAAGCTAGAAGAGAGTGGGGGGCAATATTCAATATACTTAAAGAACAGAACTTTCAGCCCAGAATTTCATATCCTGCCAATTTAAGCTTTACAATTGAAGGAAAAATAAAATCTTTTAGGAACAAGCAAGTACTCAGAGATTTTATTACCACCAGGCCTGCTTTACAAGAACTTCTAAAAGAAGCATTATACATAGAAAGGAACAACCAGTATGAGCCTTTCTAAAAATACACCAAAAAGTAAAGAGCATTAACATAAAGAAGAATTTACATCAACGAAAGGATAAAATAGCCAGTTAATATCAAATGGCAGCAACCCTAAATTTAAATCGACTAAATCCCCCAATCAAAAGATACAGACAAAATCTAACGGTATATCCAAAGATATACATAGACTCAAAATAAAGGGTTGGAAAAAAACTTACCAACCAAATGGAGAGCAAAAATAAACAAAAAGCAGGCATTGCAATTTTCACATTTGACAAAATAGATTCCAAAGCTACAAGGATACAAGGGTAAAAGGATTAATGTAATAATAAGAGATCTTAACACCCAGATACATAAGACCCATAATGAGATTTAGATTCAACGAGACAGAAAATTGATAACGATATCCAGGACTTGAACTCAGATCCAGAACAATAAACTCAATAGAGCTCTCCATTTTAAACACACAAAATATACATTATCCACTTTAAACACACAAAATATTGATCGGCCATTATCGATACCCATTTTAGGAATGAAGTAATATTCCTGTTCTTTTTCCCTCTTTCTCTTTCTCTTTCTTCCTTAAAAAAAAAATAAATAAATAAAAATAAAAAATAAAAGAAAGGTAAGCGACAGAGAAAACTGCTTTCATTTTATAGATGGACAAATTAAAGAACATGCCCGAGGCCATACAGTTAGAAAGCGTTAGAGCAGAGACCTGGAGGTGGGTTTCTCTAATCTCAATTTCCACTCTCTTTCTGTTACTCTCTCCCTCTTCTAATGGTGGACCTCAGACTGGGAAGGATCTGGGGTGGTCAGACTTCAAGAAGATTCTTGGACTACAGAGTCAGAAGTTGCCTGGCCCCCTTGTGCTGCCATTTGTGTACACAGCAGTTGCTCAATAATTGATACTCACTGAGGAGAAAGAGGCAGCTTGGTCTCTGTGGGCTTGCCAGCAGGGTGGACCCCTTCCCTCCAGCAACCACCTACCTGGGACAACCTCAGACTCTTTCTCATTGTCACACTCCTCGACAGCCTCTTGGAACCACAGCTCAGTGGGTCTGATGCCTTGAAGGACTCATACAGCCTGTTTGTCCACTGGCCTTGGGGCCGGATAGTGTCTGAGCAAGAGAAGGGCGGGAGGGGAAAGGGGTCCATAGTGACTGGCACCAGGGAGCAGGCCTCACCCCACTGGAGGGATTGGTGCTGGGCCTCAGCCCCCAATCCTGGTTTGAATGCCCTTCCTCAGAACCAAACTAGCAGCCATAGCCACAGGACAGCTGTTCTCTCTGGTGCAGACCTTGAGATCTTTCTCGATGAAGTCAAGAAAGAATCAGAGCAGTCCACTAGGAATTTTCTAAAAGTGGGGACCCTGCCACCTCCATCAGGCCCAAGTCTCACCAAAACAGGCCCTCCTACCATTCAATGGCTCTGCACAAAGTAGGCACTCAGTCCATGGTGGTTCCAACTGCTTTCATGGCACCCATGCCTGGGATGTGGCAGGTGGTTACTAAGGTCCTCTACTGCATGAACGACTGATGGAAATGTGGTGTGAGGTGACACGACTCTTCTGTTTAGTGGTACCAAATAGAATCCACAACACCAGAGTGAGGAGGGTGCAAGAGATCTCCTGCTTTCAACTCTTGCCCTTTTCCTTTTTTTTTTTTTTTTGCTTCTGAAGTCCTCCTTAGTCCCATCCCAGCTCTGATTGGCTTTGCTAGCCACGTCACCTGTCTTTCATGCTCTCTCTCTCTCTCTCTGTGTCTCCCTTCCTTCTTTCCTTGCTACTCCTCCTGCTCCACACTGTAGCTTTAGCTACAAGCCTCTTCTCAGTTTCAGGTCCTCATGTTTTTACTTCTGCTTTTTCCTCTGCCTCGTCCTCATCTCTTTCCCTATCTGGTAAACTCCTACTAATCATTCAAAGTCTGGTTGAATGCCCCTGTGTCTGTAAAGGCTTCTCCCTGCCAAGCCAGGCCCTCCCTGTAAGACTTCAGTGCAGCAGGTACAGCCCTTGCCCTGGCAATCGGTGTCTGCATGCCTGCTCCCACTTCAGAGAGAGCTTTTTGAGGCTGACTTTGTGTTTTTGGCCATGCTCAGCGCTGTGCTCTGAGTTCCCAGCCTGTACTTGAGGCCCATGGTGGGAACTCCCTGAATATGAGCAGAGTGACTGGAGGAGGTGGCTGTTACCTTTCTGCTCAGGATCACTGCTGATGGTAAAGGGGAGCCACTCACAGTGAGTGATGGTGGGACTGTCCAGATACAAGTAGTCCCCAGGTCTATAGTGAAAGAAAGGGGGCCACTTGATGAGGAGATGGGTGACCTGGGAGAGAGGAAGGAGACCATCGTCATTCCTGAAGGCCCAAAGCCACCAGAGGCTCCAGGACGAGAGGGCAGAGGCTGAGCTGCCCTCCTCCTCCATAAAACAGGCAGCCCCCAAGACACAACACTCTTCTGTGCTTCTGAGTGAGGGCCCACCCCAGCAGCCAACCTGCCAATCTGGAAGTGGGCAACAATCCTAGAGGGGGCAGCCAGGCTGTGTCTGAAGTGGGGCCCCTGGTTTTCTCCCGCTTCGCAGGGTGTAAGCACTGCTTTTTAGTGGACCCTCTGTGAGGCCTCCCTGGTTGCTCCAGCCCTTCCCAGGAACATCGGCAAGGCCTTGGCCGGCATTCCAATCACCAATGGGCCTCTCTCCTTGGATAACAACAGCCTTCTGGACAATTGCTTGGAGCACTGTTTTATCTGTAGGCCTCATAGCAACTCTATGAGACAGATACTAATTTCTGTCCACTTCAGGGATGAGAAGCAGAGGCTCAGAGAGGTCAAGTAACTTCCCAAGGCCACCAGGTAAGAAACTGTGGGATTTGAATGCAGCTGACGCTGTTGGATGCCGCAGCCTAGACACACAGCACAGCCTCGTCCTTCAGCCTCCCAGGTCCTCCAACTCAGTGTGTCCAGAGCCAAGCCCACCTAAAACTGCCTTCCCTTTCTCCATAGACGGCACAACTCAGACACCGGGGAGACATCCTGACTCCTTCCTCTCTGTAGCCCCAAAACATAGGCAGTTACTTCTTGAGTCTTTCTGTGATGTGCACCTCCCTCCATCCCATGGCCACTGCCCTCATGAACTCTTATCTTTGCATTTGCAAGAAGCTCACCACAAGCTCCCTCCAAGTACCTTCCACAGAGCACTAAAGAAATCTAACTAGAAGGCCGGGTGCGGTGGCTCACACCTATAATCCCAGCACTTTGGGAGGACAAGGCGGGTGGATCACGAGGTCAAGAGATCGAGACCATCCTGGTCAACAAGGTAAAACCCCGTCTCTACTAAAAATACAAAAAATTAGCTGGGCATGGTGGTGCGTGCCTGTAGTCCCAGCTACTCGGGAGGCTGAGGCAGGAGAATTGCCTGAACCCATGAGGTGGAGGTTGCGGTGAGTCGAGATCGTGCCATTGCACTCCAGCCTGGGTAACAAGAGCGAAACTCCATCTCAAAAAAAAAAGAAAGAAGGAAAGAAAGAAAGAAAGAAAGAAAGAAAGAAAGAAAGAAAGAAAGAAAGAAAGAAAGAAAGAAAGAAAGAAAGAAAGAAAGAAAGAAAGAAAGAAAGAAAGAAATCTGACTAGAATATTAATGGTCCCAGCTTAATACCAGCATCTCCTCCCAGCATGCTCAGGGGTTCCCCATGGCCCTCAGGGTGGGTCTCCAGGGTGGGTCTCCTGGCTCAGAAGGCCCCTCAGGATCAGGCCTTGCTTACCTCTCTGGCTTCTTCCTGGCAACTTCTCCCAAGCTATGTCAAATCACCTGTGGTCCCCCAAGCACAGTATACCCTTTCACAACTCTGTGTCTTTACTGTGTTGTTCCTTCTGCCAGCAATACCCTTCCTTGTCTTTTCTATCCAACAAACTCCTATTCATCCCTCAAAACCCTGATATGGCATCTTCTCCCTCATTCTGAAGCTTTTCCAGACCTCCCAAAGATAAAGGGTTTAATGCCTCCGGGCATTCTACTTCTTTCAGCAACACAGCCCTGCACTGTAATGAAAGGACTGGCTCCCCTAGAAAGCAGGACAGTGCACACCTTCTCTGTGTCTCTGTAACCTAGTTCAGGGCCTGGCACCCTGTAGGCACTACTGAGCTGAAGGAGAACACTCTCCCCAAACCTAGATTTTAGAGGTGCATTGCCTGCCCTGTCATTCATCTTCCTAAAGCCTCCCTCCTGGAGGGCCGGTCTGGGTCTTGCATTTTGCTTGTCTCCTCCTTAGCAGTAGGGCTGCAGCTACACTATTTCCTATTTCCTTGGGGGTCTGACAGGGTACCCAACTGTTCTACACCACCAACTGTCCCTTGGGGTGAGATGGACAAGGCCTCCCCCCGCCACCCTTTGTACCTTGGAGGGGAGGAGGTTGACTTCCACGATGCACATGGCTGCCATGTAGGACACTGCCAGCCCGATGGCCTTCTCCAGGAAAAACAAGATTCCAGGAACCAGCAGCCACTTCCAGAAGTTGGGCCCATGAAGGATGAGCAGAATACACATGAGGAGGTAGGCCAGGTGACTCCAACAGAACACCTGTGTGTGTGGGGGGGGGGGCAGTAAACTTCCAGAGCTCAAGGCCTCATGGGTGGAAAAGAGACAGGACTCAGGGTTATCCTCAAAGCCAGGACAGTGCCCAGAGCCTTGACTCTCTCCTGGGGATGGGGTTGGGTAAGAGGTTGGGGTTGGGAAGATTCTTTTTCTGAGGGCTTGGCCAAGGGAGCCTTTAAGGGAAGATTTCTGATACCAGAGGCAAACATCTGAAATATCTGCCTGGGAGGTTCTGGGCAGAGTGGCGTGCCCCACAGGGATTATGAGCATCAGTATCCCTACCCCGTGACCCATTCTCAGAAGGAAGAAAGAAAAGACAGCAATGGCTTCCTAGGAGTGGAGAAGAAATATCTGGTGGAAGACAATTTTAGCACCTTCCTCATCGGTCAAATGAGGCTCCTGATTCCCACCTCAAAGGCTAGTTGCTGGCCCAGAGTAGGTATTCATATATGTCTATTTCTGACGTGCCTAGGCCCGGAGACTGTCAAGGTCTCCAAACCAAATCCTCTGTGACTTTCTGCATCTTGAGGAGGCTGGAGAGATGGAAGCAAAGATGGAACTGACGTTTTCAAAGCACCTACATGCTAGGTATGTAGTTAGTGGTTTTACATGTATCATCACCTATAATTCCTAAAAAACATTGAGAATTACGCCTCCATTTTACAGATGAGAAAACTGAGGCTTGGAAAGGTGGAGTGATCAGTAAGCAGGGGAGTGGGGATTCAAAACCTGCTGAGCCTGTGTTTCTTCCCCTCCCTGTGCTGTTTTAAGCCCAACTTAACCCAAATAGGTTAAAGGGATAAGCCAGCAAAAAGGCAGACACTTCCACAGCAAAACATCTATACTTGGCAGACACAAACTACAGTCCAGTGGCAGAACCCAGCAGCAGGCCCTAAATCACATGCAAATAACAGGGAGACCAGCTTGGGACTTTCCTGGGCTCTGGAGTAAATCAGAGGGGACACAGAAAGAAATGAAGGTGGAACTCTGGCCTTGGGGCAAGCAAAAGGGCAGGGACTGGAGCACCTCAAAATGGCCACTCCTGCAGATGCCCGAGCTGGAGCATATGAACATGAGGAGGAGCAGCAGCAGCAGAGACGCCTGTCGGGGAGGCTGAGCTGTGCACCCAGCCAATTCGAGGCCTTGTGGTGAGCAGCAGCTCCCAGAACTGGAAAGGGCTGGCCTCTGCCTGAGCCTGGAGTGCTGGAAACAAGCCCAAAAATCTGAATGACTGCAAGACCAGTTCTTCCCACTCCACCTTCCCTTGGGATTCCCACCCTGCACCATCAGATACTAGCACAGGCAGAAACTTTTGTCCAGAGCGTTGGTTTATCCAGGGCACCCCTTCTCTTGCCTTTGAGCAGGCAGGGCACTCAGGGGCTGAGCCCTGTGTTTTGGGCTTGGAGCTGCTCCAGGTTCTCCCCAACCCAACCCTGCCCCAGATCACTCACCAAAGTTCACAATGTGAGCCATGGTGTGCATGTGAGAGACAGTCCCACCACCACATAGCCCATGGGCTGGTGGAACTGGATGTTCTGGTCCAGTGGTAGGACTTGAGCCAGCCACGTGGCTCGCAGCCAGGTGAGGCAGCGTCTGAGCATCAGCACCTGGACGGGCAGAGTGGCAGAGAGCCCCGCCTCACTCTCTGTCTGCCTTGTCCCCTTTTCCCAGCCATCTCCCTGCAGCCCTCTGAGCTAGCTGTGCTTTCTGAACAGGACTCTCACCAAACTCCCCTGCCCCATGCCTGCTGCTTCCCTGGTTCACAGCTGGGGTCTCTAGAGGAGAGTCTCCAGAATTGGGGTGGGAAAGTTACAGAATGTCTATCTGTATTAATTTTTATCTAAACACATACGCTTTTACTAATATTTAACATACAGGGCAGACACAGTGGCTCACTCCAGTAATCCCAGCACTCTGGAAGGCTGAGACAGGAGGATCACTGGAGCCTAGGTGTTTGAGACCAGCCTGGGCAACACAGCAAGACCCCTGTCTCTGTAGGAAAAAAAATTTTTTTAACTAGCTGGTCATGGTGGCACACACCTGTAGTCCTACCTACTTAGGAGACTGAGGCAGGAGGATTGCTTGAGCCCAGGATTGCTTGAGCCCAAGTGTTTGAAGTTACAGTGAGCTATGCACCCCAGCCTGGGTGAAAGACAGAGACCCTGTCTCAGATAGATAGATAGATAGATAGATAGATAGATAGATAGATAGAATAAATTAAATAAATAAAATATCACTGTTGACTTGGTGCCCTCATTTAGTCCATATGTCAGATGGGTGCGTGCCATGTTAGTTCTCGAGGCACCTTGTAGGAGGAGCAGACTTTCCTAAACGCAGTGTGGTTGACCAGGGTACTCTCATTGCTCATTTGCTTTCAGTATATTTATGTGTGCCAAGGATGTGGACTTGCAGGTGCCGGTATTTGGCATTACCGAAACTCAGCTAACTACCCCTCATAGGAAGGACAAGTAGCTTTAAAAGTTTCCCAGCAGAGAAACCACAGATTGACAGTTGTGTTGATAATGCAAGAGCAAGTGACCAAGAAAATAAGTCACACGCCTCCCACTCCTGGAATAAACTCTGTCAGCTGGTTACACGGTTAACACAAAGCCCACTCTGGGAATGAGGACCCCATTTTACAAGATGTGATTATTACACATTGTATGTATCAAAACATCCCATGTACCCCATAAATATATACACCTACTACGTGCCCACAAAAATTAAAATTAACAATTGAAAAATAATAAAAATAAATGTAAAAGAAAACCCATAAACCCACTTTAACAAGAAGCGGATATCTAGAAGCATATCTGAGCTAGAGGTGGGCATTCCTACTCGTCAGTGATGGATCTTCCCCTGTAGTTAGTTACTTTGTGCCTTAAGTCTATTAGCTAATGATAATAGGACGTGAAGACAAGCACAAAAGGGCCTTTGTTTTACTGGGAGTAGTTGTGTCATTAAGAACTCTTAGAGGCCAACTGGAGTGGCTCACGCCTGTAATCCCAGCACTTTGGGAGGCCAAGGTGGGCAGATCATGAGGTCAGGAGTTCAAGACCAGCCTGGCCAACATGGTGAAACACTGACTCTACTAAAAATACAAATATTAGGGCTGCGCGTGGTGGCTCACGCCTGGAATCCCAGCACTTTGGGAGGCCGAGGCGGGTAAATCACAAGGTCAGGAGATGGAGACCATCCCGGCTAACAGGGTGAAACCCCATCTCTACTAAAAATATACAAATTAGCTGGGTGTGGTGGTGGTCGCCTATCATCCCAGTACTCAGGAGGCTGAGGCAGGAGAATTGCTTGAACCCAGGAGGCAGAGGTTGCAATGAGCTGAGATCCTGAGATCACGCCATTGTATCTGGGTTAAAAACCACCCCTTAGAGACCTCATCTGTAAGTCAGAGAACCACATGCCAACTGCATGATCTGGTATTCAAGGCCTCTTGTAGGGTTTCCTCTTGAAGGTGGACCTGCACAGGACCCCACCACGGGGGAATTGTGAAGATGAAACGGAGCCTACTCAGCACCGTGCCTGATGCACAGTGAACAAAAATGCCGGTTATGTTTTTACCTACTGGCTGCGTGACTGTGGACAAGCTACTGTCCCTCTCAGGGTGGCATCCACCACCTCTGGGCGTTGGCCCAGTTGATTTCTAAGGTGCCACCCTGCCCTGGCATTTCAACTGCCCTCTGTGGGTCGCTCTGTCGAGGAGGAGCCCACCTCGGAGCCCCTGCTTGCTTCCCCGCCTGTGCTGGCACAGCCTACCTCGATGAAGCTGCAGTCCAAGTTAAGGCACTGACCGCAGCCACCATGACGCCGGTGCAGAGGTCCCAGTGCGTGCTTGCCGCCAGCGCGAAGAGCAGCACGTGGAGGCCTGCGTAGGCAGAGCAGCTGGCTGCTGTGGTTGTGCCAGTAGGCTCGGGCCAGTGGGCGCGGCCGGCGTGGGTGTGGGCGGGAGGTGGGTGGTGTCAGCCAGTGGGCAGCGCTGTGAGAGAGGCGGGCTCCTCTCAGAGGGGCGCGGTGGGGCAGGGACCACGCGTGTCTGACCCTAAAGACCCCCCCCCCAGCTGTGGTCGACCAAGTCTGGCAAGCAGGCTGGCTTCCTTCACACCAGGAAACAGAGGTCACGTGACTTGGTCACAGTTGCACAGCTCCGTGGAGCTGAAAGGGGACTGCAGTCTGCCTGATGTCACAACCACGACTATTTTTTTTTTTATTACTTCTCTTTACTTTCCAATGTTAAAACAGGTAATAGAAAAGGATGGAAGAATCTGAGATATGTTTTGGTAAGTAAACCCCAAGTAAGTTAATACACAGGGGCCCAGCACGGTGGCTCATGTCTATAATCCAAAACTTTGGGAGGCTGAGGCGAGGGGATCACTTAAGGTCAGGAGGTCCAGACCAGTCTGGCCAACATGGCGAAAGCCCATCTCTGCGAAAAATACAAAAACTAGCTGTCTGTGGTGGTGGGCGCCTGTAGTGCCAGCTACTCAGGAGGCTGAGGCAGAAGAATCGCTGGAACCCAGGAGGCGGAGGTTGCAGTGAGCCTAGATCATGCCACTGTACTCCAGCCTGGGCATCAGAGTGAGATTCCGTCTCAAAAAAAAAAAAACAAGTTCATACACAGGCAGAATTAACTACAAAACCGGCGCTATTCAGAGCCTGGAGCCTTGGGTCTTGTTGTTTTCTTATTTTCTCCACTGCACGTACTAATTTTGCGCTTCTCTAGTTTGTGTGTTTGTTTATTGGTGTGAATGATACGTCTCTCCGTCTGGAATGGGGCCCCAGCAGGGTGGGGACCTCATTCGCTGCATTATTCAGAACAGTGTGGTGGAAGGGAGCTGCTCGAACATTGACTGCACAAATAACTACCTTTGTTAAGTATTTGTGTAATCCTAGGCAACTTACTTCAGGCGAAGTAATTTCCTTTTATAAAATGAGCATTGCTATAAAATGCACTGGTATATGCAAAAGGGTTCAGCACACAGTAGGTGCCTCATACCGTGAGTGGATTCTGCAGAGACACTGCAGGAAATGAAGGCAATGAAGACAGCTGCCCTGCGGGACACCCAAGAGTGGGCTAAACAGGGGAGGGGCAGGGGCGCGGCGGGGAGGGGCGGGGCCGATCCGCGGTGAGTTCCTGCCACGCTTTTGGCCGGGAGTCTCACGCCGCCGCGGACGGTGCCAGTGCCCGAGATCCGGCCGTACCTGATGGTCAGGTTCTCCGTGACTCCAGGGAAGGGCTGCAGCTGGTCCCGGAGCTCCTCGAAGGTGATGGCCCCGCTGCCTCCCGTGTCCGCCGACTAGAACAGCGCTGCGTCGGCTGGTCCAGCTTCTCGTCGGGCAGCGAGATGGCGCTCTCGCGCAGGCACGACTGCAGCACCGTGCGCAGCTCCTCCGGGTCGATGGAGCCGCTGCTTGTCCCGAGTGGGGATGAGGCCGAGTGGGGGCCTGCCTCAGCACCCCACTCTGTACCTGCAGACGCCCCCTGCCATGCACACACACTGCAAGAAGAGGTGGGCCTCTTCTGTTTACCCACCTCCAGCTCTTTGCCAATCAGTTCTCTTTAGGGGTATAAACCTTGCTCAGAAACCTTCCCTGGTGCCCGACTGCCTAGCTCAACAGCGATGGATGCCTCACCACGGGGATTGAATAATCTTTGGCTTCAGTGGACGCCTGTCTCTAGAGTCTGTAGCTTCCTAAGTACTACTCAACTTCCAAGACCAACTGCCCAGAAAAACACTCCTGCTTACTTAATCTATAAGGGGCTGTGTGCCCACAGTCTCAATTATCCAGAGGCATCCTGTATGCGGGTTAGTGCTGAGGGAGTGTGCCCTGTTGTTCAACTTGGAGCAGATGCTCTGTTTATCCTGTTGTCTTGAGAGGGGCCACAGCTGGGCATTCCAGCCCAGCGGTGTGGCCTTATGTAAACATGGGTGGTTGAAAATGATGGGATAAGGAAGCCAAAACTACCAACAGAGATGAGATTTTTCTGTATGTATCTTATTCTTCCTGAGCAGCAGAGTCCATGATTAATGACTTCTTGGCCTGCTTTGGATATGGACACAGCGGCACCCTGCTCCTGCCCCTCCTTAACTGTGCTAGAGTGGGTTCTAAGTCCTCTGTCCCTCAATTTATTTATCAAATGGGAGTTATGATAATAATAGTTCATACTCATAGGGTTGAGATGAAGGTTAAATTAGTTAACTTATGAGCAACGGGAGCCATCACAGAGTGTTGAGCAATTTTTATGTTATGTATCTTTTACCACAATAAAAATGATACTGTAAAGCAATATATTTTTACATTTCAAAATGTTGACTTTTTTAAAGTGAAAAATTGCAGTATGTATATAATCCCATTTTGTTAAAAAGAAAGTGAGTCGGGTGTGTATGTGCAACCAGTTAGAAGGCGATACAGCAAAATGTTACGGGTGATTTTTGTGTTCTTCTTTATACCACTCTGTATTGTCTGAAATGTTCATAGTGAGCTTATATTATGATGAAAAGGAAAAAGCAACAGAGCTTTTTTTTTTCAAACATAAAAAAGAACAAAAGAAGGTTCTGGCCTCTGGTAAGTTGAATAGAAGGCATTTGTCTCCTGTGCCAGAGTCCTCCTTTTCTCCAGCTGCCCCAGAAAGCGGGCAAGGATCAGACAGAGAGACAGGAACGGGGGAAGAGATGCAAGGGAATGAAGTGTCAGCCTCACCTGGAGAAACCAGTCCCAGGCTGGGCACAGCAGGTCCGGGTGGCACCTCCAGGCCTAATGAGGTGAAATGGCCAGTTCTCACTGAGGACCCCCACTGCTCTCCCCACCACAGCCCACACCCAGGAAGAGCCCTTGCCATCGATGTCATACACCTGGAAGATGTATGGGGCTGCCGTGGATGAGCAGGGTCAGTGCGTCCCGCAGCTCCTGGAGGGTGATGGTGCCACTTCCATCAGAGTCAAACAGGGCAAAGAATCTCTCTGCAAAGAAGGACTGTGGGCAAGAAGGGTGGAAGACAGGCACAACTGTGGCTGCAGGGCCTGGCCTTTGAATTTGTTCACTGTCTTCCTGTGTGTGGGAGGGTAGCAAGGGGTGGCAAGGGGTGGCAGTATTCAGGCAGGACTCAGGTGCCTGAACACCCATTGTGATTGCTCAGTGGAAGACCTGTTCTGACCCCTGCAGTGAGCATGGGCTTGGTTTGGGCTTTAGGCCCCCTTCTGGTCCTGGGCTTTGTAATTTGCATGGGCTGTCTGCCCCCTACATACAATCACCCCCATCAGCCTTGCAGTCCAGGCTTCTGGGTGGCTCCTTAACCAACATGGGAAAGGGTCAGACAGGGGGTCCTCCTGTGGGCTCCTTCCAGCCCTGTCTCACCCCACTTGGGGTGAGCCCAAGGGATGAGTGAATCTGGGAAGGACTTACAGATTCCACCGGAAGGTCCGAGTCCTTTCTTTAGTTTGTTTGTAAGGCTGCCTATGTTTTATACTTAAGGCTTGTTTTTAATCACCAATTCACTCATTCACTCACTGAGGAGTCCTGCGCTGTGTAGCCTTTACCTGCCAGGCCTGGTGTTAGACACTGGGAGCACAGAAATTAAGAAGACAGGATTGGATGAGTGTCCTAGAGATGCTGTCTTGGGAGGCTCCCCTCATGGCAAGCGGAGGACCCTGTGGGGTTATAGTGTCTGACTTAATAAAACCATGAGGCTTTTATCAGAGGTCGAAGACCAACTTAATGAAATAAAATGACAAGACAAGAATAGAGAAAAAAGGATGAAAAGGAATGAGCAAAGTCTCCAAGAAATATGGGACTATGTTAAAAGACCCAATCTACGTTTGATTGGTGTACGTGAATGTGATGGAGAGAATGAATCCAAGCTGGAAAATACTTTTCAGGATATTATCCAGGAAAATTTTCCTAATCTAGCAAAGCAGGACACTATTCAACCCCAGGTAATACAGAGAACACCACAAAGATATTCCTCAAGAAGAGCAACCCCAAGGCACATAATCATTAGATTCACCAGGATCGAAACGAAGGAGAAAATACTAAGGGCAGCCAGAGAGAAAGGCCAGGTTACCCATAAAGGGAAGCCTATTAGACTTACAGCAGATCTCTCAGCGGAAACACTATAAGCCAGAAGAGAGTGGGGGCCAATATTCAACATACTTAAAGAACAGAACTTTCAGCCTAGAATCTCATATCCTGACAAACTAAGCTTCACAACTGAAGGAAAAATAAAATCTTTTATGAACAAGCAAGTACTCAGAGATTTTATTACCACCAGGCCTGCTTTACAAGAACTTCTGAAAGAAGCATTATACATAGAAAGGAACAACCAGTATGAGCCTTTCTAAAAATATACCAAAAAGTAAAGAGCATCAACATAAAGAAGAATTTACATCAACAAATGGATAAAATAGCCAGTTAACATCAAATGTCAGTAACCCTAAATTTAAATCGACTAAATCCCCCAATCAAAAGATACAGCCAAAACCTAACGCTATATCCAAAGATACACAAAGATGCAAAACAAAAGTTTGGAGAAAAATTTACCAACCAAATGGAGAGCAAAAATAAATAAATAAACAAAAAGCAGGAGTTGCAATTCTCACATTTGATAAAATAGATTTCAAAGCAACAAAGATACAGTGGTAAAAGGATCAATGCAACAATAAGAGATGTTAATACCCAGATACATAAGACTCATAACGAGATTTAGACTCAACAAGACAGAAAATTAATAAGGATATCCAGGACTTCAACTCAGATCCGGAACAAGTAAACTCAATAAATATTTATAGAGTTCTCCATTTTAAATACACAAAATATTGATCAGCCATTATTAATACCCATTTTTAGAATGAAGCAATATTCCTGTTCTCGCTCCCTCTTTTTCTTCCTGGTTCTTCCTCTCCTTCTCTCCTTTTTTTACTTTTCAACATCCTAGTTCCTCACCTCTACTCAATACATTCCTCTGAACACTTGATTCCTTGTGATTCTCCCGTCCCACTGAAACCTCGAATCTATTAAATAAATAAATAAATAAATAAATAAATAAAGCCATGAGGGGTTCACAAGTATGAGGTATAGGCTGAAGTCTGCCGTAGACTTATAACCATGACAGCAGTGACAGTGTGACTGCATCCACATGACAGCAGTGATGCTGTGACTGCGTTCACGCCATGATAGCAGTGACTTTTCCACCTTGCATTTACGCAGATCTTTACTGCTTTCCAAATATTTCCCGCCATCGCTACTTCCTTTGGTCTCTCCGACAGCCTGGTGGGCCAGGACATTTTGCAGAGAAGAAATAGTCGCAGACCAGTTAAGTAACTTAACTAAATGTAGTCAGCAAGTTAGAGACAGAGAGAGAGTTCAAATTCAAGTCCAGTGTTTCCTCCCATTCTGCCCCAAAGCCTTCACCCTCTGCTTAAACGCTTGTAGTACAAGATGGACCAAGCCAGGATTCAGCCCTCAGGTCTTAACTCTTCAGGCCCAGGTTGTCTTCTATGATGTCACCACGGTATTGGCTGTCTAAAGCCCTTACCCCTGGGCTGTCTGTCCTGTGATCTAAACAGAGGTGAGTGATGAAATTAGGACACTTCTGTAGCATCAGGACCCAGGAAACCAAAACTGAGGCAGTGAGTGAGGAGTTACAGATTCTTGTTGCTGTAAATGTCCCCCTGGGAGAATGGCCTTGTCTATTTCTCATGAGTACAACATAATCCTAAATGATTTAGCTACAGTAATCCTCATTCTTTGTGGATTTTGTTTTGCAAATGTGCCTACTTCTTAAAATTGCTGTGTAACCCCTGAATCAGTACTCACAGCCCATCTGTACTTATCTGTGGACATGCACAGTGCAGTGGAAACTGTGAGTCACCCAGTGGCTTGCTCGCCACTGAGGCTGGACAAGGCGCCGATGCCTGCCTTCTTGTTTCAGCTCTCGGTGAGTGTCCTTTGCATGATCTGGCTGGTACTACACTTTTCACATTTTTGTGCTTTTTGTTGGTGTTTTCACCCAAGCATAGCATTGAGGTGCTGGCTAGCATTCCTAAGCCAGCAAGGGCTATAATGTGCAGTATGGAGGAAATATCTGTTAGGAAAGTTTCATTCAGGCATAAGTTACCGTGCTGTTGGCCATGAGTTCAATGTCAACAAATCAACAATGCATATTTTAAATGTTTATTTAAATAGAAACACACATAAAACAAGGTTACTTACTGCTCATTTGACAAAAATATTGTGCCCCAAGGCTCACAGGAGCCTAACTCTATATTTTCTTCTAGGAACAATGGTTCCAAATTCACTAATTCAGTGTTTGCAGTGACTTTATAGAACATAACTACCATGAATAAAAACTGATTTTAGGTGTGTTTTTTTTAGATTTTATTTATTTATTTTTAAAGACGGGATTTTACCGTGTTGGTCAGGCTGGTCTTGAACTCCCGACCTCAGGTGATCTGCCTGCCTTGGCCTCCAAAGTGCTTGGATTACAGACGTGAGCCACCACACTCAGCCTGATTTTAGTTTTAAAGATTTAACAAACATTAAAAACAAATGTACTCGTTTTCACTTAAGCAACTAGACAAAGAATAAAATAAGTACCACATAAATGTAAGTACATACGATTAAATACAAAACCGGAAATTAAGGTATTAGAAAACCAAAAAAGTCATTTGCTTCAATTACGGAAATGGTTTTACAGATGTATGCATATATACTCCTCTGTTATCTGTGGGGGATACTTTTTAAGTCCCCCAGTGGATGCCTGAAACTGCAGATAGCACCAAACCCTATATAAACTATATGTGTTACCTAAATAATACACACTTATGATAAAGTTTAACTTGTAAATTAGCTACAGTAAGAAAATAATAATAGCTAGTAATAAAATAGAAGAATTATAACAATATACAATCTACTGTAATACCAGTTATGTAAAATGTGGTCTCTCTGTCTCTGAAAATATGTGATATTACTGTACTCATCCTTCTTCTTCTTGAGATCTGTGGATCTGATAACCGAGACAGCCACTAAATGACTGAGGGGTGGGCAGGGTGTATAGTGTAGATTCACTAAACGAGTGGGGACAGCAGAAAGGCTTGAGATTTCATCAGGCTACTCAGAATGACATGTAATTAAAAACCTATGAATTGACGTTTCTAGAAGTTTTCATTGGATATTTTCGGCCTTGGTTGACCATGAGTAACAAACCATAGAAAGTAAAACTGTGTATAATGGGGGCTAGACTGCCTCTCAATACTCATCAAATTATTCTTTTCCTTTTTGTTTTTTTAAACTCAAGTTCTTATTTTTATGGGAGGACAAATCATAGTAAACTAAAGGAGAATTTAAGAATATTTTAAAACAAAAAAAATTTCCAGTAGGCAAATCAAGAAGATAACAATCATACAAGCCACAGCTATGTGATTCTTCTACAACCTCCATGGTAAGACATCAGTGCCCTGGTTTGTCAAATACTTCTTGCCAGTACTTATAGCCACAGGTATTGCTTACTGTTTCACTGAGTCCTGGACAGAAGTTTTACTCCAAAAATTTACTAGGCATACTGAGGAATACTGAAGTACGTAAACCATAACAGCCAAGATGCAATGGTTGTGAGATTTACTAAAAGACCTGACTGAAAACATCATCATAGACACAAAAGAGATGGTCATGAGAAGCATTGCTATGGAAAACACACTGACCCACCGCTATGGCCAGTGCCACAGAACTGAGCAACGAAGCCACCATCATGAGGGTAAACATCAAGATGAAGAAGGTGTCCACCTGTGGCGTTAATCCCAACAAGATTAGGAATATTACAGCCTTATTATTATAATACAGGTATTATTATACACATAAAGTAATACTTGGTAACATCTTCTTGGGTAGTAAATTAGATAACAGTTTTCCAAAGAAATAAGATGACACTCTGTAGTATCCACTAATATATTTGTGCATAAAGAGCTTCTTCTCTAGCGCAAAGAGCTCTATGACCGACTTGCTACTGAAACACTGGCTGGTAGTCAAGAAGAGAACCCGGGCTCTATTCTTGATTTCAGTAGAATCATTTTTTAGCCCAAAGCAAATGGCACCTATAATCAGCCTCGGTATGGTTGTGACAATTACCTGAG